CATGTACTATCTGCATAGTCGGATATTCCAACAAAAAACTTTTCAAACCCCTATTCACAAATATTGATTAGAACCACTAGCGGATCCAGGATTTAATTTTGGAGAGGGGGCTTCAGCCTGAAAGCTTTTTTTTCATAAAAATTACGATAATTACTTTGGGAAAAAAGAAAGAAACTAACTATCTATATGAAGTGGTGTTTAAGTGATTCCTTAAGTCTTTTTAAATGTAATTACACGAACAATAATACTTTAAGAGATAATTTTTTAATATATTTTTCCATAAAATATGGTTATATTTTACCATTTTGGGTGGGACTTCAGCCCGAAAGCCCCCCCCCCTCCAGTAGATCCGCCGTGATTGGAACAATAGTTTATAATAGTTAACTGTGCTACGTTGAATGAAATAAAAAAATACGATATCCGACCTACAGGACCTTTCACATGATGCGGCCTCTATCGAGTCACGAGGAGAATTATCTTCATCTGCAATTAAACCATAAATTGCAAGTTGCGTATATCTTTGAAGAACCTATTGGAAAGCTTCCGAAGGACAAAGCCGAACCTCCCATTAGTGTATATATTAACACTATAATATTAATACTCATATGACATTGAAAAATAAAGTATAAGTTTCTATAAAATAAATTTTGAAGCGTCGAATAGAATAACATTAAATTAATTATTATTGAAGAAAAAGATAGTCCGGTGTGGTGGTCCTAAAAAGATTAAAAAAGTAAAAAAAAAATAGTAAAATAAACTATTTTACTTCAAGCCATCGTTTCGCCCCGACTTTGCAGATCTTCTTCAGGGGTATGAAAAGCACCCCGGTTGAAACTCCAATTTATGAAGATAGAAATTTATTATTACCTAAATCGAATTCCCTATTTATGTGTTAAATCAATATACAAAGTAAATAGTGGAAAGAAATAATAATAAATACAAAATTATTTTAAACAAATTAACTAGGTGATAGGGGTTTAATTTCTATTCAATTAACGACTAGAAACCGCCCGACGTTTTCGACTACTGCAGCACTTACTAGACAAACGCTCTTAACTTCCAACTATTTACAAAAGACTCATACATATTACTATAATAAGGTCTATTTGGACTTACGGGATCGAGCTTTGGGGCTCTACTAAACCAGCAAATTCCTCTCGTATCCAATCCCTACAATCCAAAATCCTTAAGACTCCCTACCTTGTCACAAATAAAATCATCCATAACGACCTTAATGTACCATATGTTTCCCGATTTAGCTCAATCCAGATACCTATCCTTCCATAATAAACTTCTGAACCACACGAACCATCTTGTTTCTAACCTTGCTTCCTCTTCTATTTCTGATAACCCTCCGAGGCGTCTGAAAAGAAGATGGCCTCGGTACCTTCTAATATAGAAATATCATTAGATTGCTACCAATGATCACGAAATACAATCCTAAAAGCATGGTAACCTTGTGCATAGCGTAAGTCGAAACATAGTATAATATCTTAAAAAGAGCAATAAATTAATCTAAGGCTTCAAATGGTTATATATATGAATATTCTTTATTGGAACAATTTCTTTATTTATATAGTCTATATTCCTACAATATGGTAAGATATAAAACTGTTACTTAGATTCTAGCTTTCGAATATGACAATCGATAGTTGATACCGAACAATTAAGGTAAAACGTCATGTCATTGTCATTGAAGCTATGATTTCTTGCTTTGGAGGTACACGATGTGCTGTGAAAAAAATATGTTTTTATCAAATGAATGACTGCAGGTATTAGCCAACAACTGTTTTTAGTTTTTTTTAAAAAGTGATTTAACTATTTTAAAAAAAAAAATCTTTTTATTGAGATATTATACATTTTACCACACTTAAGGGAACTGAGTATTAGAGCTGTAAGGCATATTCATACCTTGTTGTACTTTAAAACTACCGTCAAAAACCAACACAATCTCAATTTAATTTTTATACCAGTATTTTATATCAAAGCTTCGTAAACGTAAATTTTGAACTCATTCCAAACGTATCTGCCCTATAATTTCGCACATTCCTCCCTTACTAATGTCATCAACTATTCCTTCATTTCTTATTAATTGTCTCTTTTGATCTAACTCGACATCTTCTTTCACCTATATCCTATCCTTCGAAAAGCTTTTATACAGTTTTGTCGATATCTTCCAGATATTCTTTTCAATTTTCATTTTATATTTTATTATATATTTCTTTGCTTATTTTTTTTTTTAATTTCAGCAATCATTAATTTAATATTAGTGCTTTTCTAGATATTTGTTTCACACGTCACCATTAATAGACCATTTTCGTATTTAATCTTCAATTATTACTATACATCATAATATTCAATATTAAGCGTTGAAATAAAGGTACTTTACTTTTGATAATTAAATTTCAAATACATAATATTGGCCTGCATAAAAATATAAATATATATTTTTTATCCATTTCTTTAACTAGGAGAACACATGAGAGAATATTTTACAATAGTTTAGGGGTATGTTAATCTAATTTTTTTTAAATACATACTAATGATTCAATACCTGAACGGAATTTGAATAATTATACCAACGATTTAGATATTTTTTCTTTTCATCATCTTTTACATGAAAATAGGCCGTTTTCAATAAAAATTTCTTTCTCTATTTCTTAAAGCCACTTTCGCCAAAAAAAGGCCTTGACAAAACAGCCTCACTCCCACATCAATCATTCGGAAACTAAGGGAAAAAATTTCCTGCAAATATATTACGGCGTTTTCCGAACATGACGCCGTGAATTCAGTGCGGCGTGAGATGGCACGGAGGAAGGGTGAATGGTGGTTATTTGAACTTTCTCGTCCATTCACGCTCATACAGGAAAGTATACATACTTCCTCTAATGTTTGTATAAAACATTTTATTTTTCCATATTGATTCTGAAGACAAAACATATTAAAATTTATTTTCTTAATTTTTATTCCGAAGTTTTAATTATAAACTTGTTAAGTTGTGTGTTATTATGTATGTGTTGTTTTACTACTGTTTTTTTTTTTATTATTACTATTCTTTTTTTTATGTTATCATTTATTCTCGTTGATATCATATTTGCTGAATACCGAGGTAGATGACAAATTTATTGTGAGCCAGGAATATGTGTAACTAATAAATAATAATAATGAATTAATCGAATTTAAGATTAAACCTTAGCAAGATTTTTCTTGATTTATACACCAAGTAAAATATTGCATAAAAATTGGCAAATATTTTAATAAACGGCTGCATTATGAATAACTGTTCCTAATAATTATTCAAATCCAATAAGGGAGCTGCAAATTTTTTCCAGCCCAACTGAGGACAGGAGAAAAAAAAACGTTTGAGGGTCGGTGATAGTTAACAAACGCTCTGTAACTGTTTCTTTTACACATTTGAGAGTTAGTTGAAATACAGTGATACACCCTAAGTTTTTTTTTTTTCAAGGAACTAAGTATAAAGATTTATCAAATAAAAAAAATTACCTAGGTTGAATAACGTTTTTAAGGTTATTTATCCATAATTGTAAGTAGATATCTTCCTCCTTCGGAGGATCTGAGACATACAAATTTCTCCTCCCCATTTCATACAAAGAAAAATATCACAGCTCCGAGACATGTAGATTTACGAAGCTTTGATACAAGTGTGCGTTCCTAGAAATAATGCAATGATGTTGGAAACATAATATAATTGGTAATTAAAAGAATGAAATTATTCCCACATTGAAACTGAAACATAGAATTACGATACTAATGTATATTGTTGAATGAACAACATATAAAAATACATTATACAGATACATTTTTACATGAAATACGTATTTAATTACTCGGTTATTATACTATAATATAATATTGTTCAATCTAAAATCATTAATAAATTTAAAAACTTGTCTTCCTTGGTGCACTGTAATTTATCAATACATATAATACTACCATAGATAGCTACAATAAGTGTAAAATGTCTTATGTAATAATTTTACCTGTTTATTCTCTTTGTACTAAAGGTGAAATTTTTTAGTCAACTAAATAGGAAAATAGCAGAGAGAAATAAAATATGAAATTATACTAATAAATAACAAATAAAGAATCGGTCCTCTGCTGTAAAAAAACTCAGTTTTTATACATGACCTTTGGCACTAATATTAGCGATTTGTAATTTGGTTTTTATTTAAAGGTTTTAACCAGCTTTTCAACGAAATTTACCGACACTAGCGGGTTTCCTGGCGTACTTATGAATTATTGTTCTGGATAAAGAAGTTACTGGTATAGAACTCTGTTCCCATCTGTCTATGATGTCTATAAGTTCCCGTCGGGATGCACTTCTTAATAATATTGGTGTGTTCGAGTAGTTCGTCGGTAGGAATCGCACTGTTTGAACAACAGATTCAGAATGAATATTTTGCCTCTTAAAACCACAGATTTTTTTAGAAACAAGTTTGAGTTTTTTTTTGTGTTCCACTATTTAAAGTCTGTGCGTTCTTTTAGTACAAACAAAATCTAAAGACTTAAATACATAGTAATTTTAGTAAGTATGAGTAATCATAATATTTAAGATTAATTTGGATTATCATTTTAAATGTCTGCATATTAGTTCAAAACTTTGGTTTGAGTTCTGGGTTTATTGTAATAATAATAATAAAAAATTAAGAACTCAAAAAGGTAATAATATTTTTTATCTACGGGAAATATCTAATTAACTACGGAATTATCTACGGTCGTTCTGCAATCAACAATAAAATTTAACTATTGTTGCTATTTGTTACCATTTATCTAGTGGATTTAGTATGTAGTGGATGTATTGCGATGTTAGTGAACTTTTTGCTTTATAATTATATTATCTTTTGTAAACATTAGAAATCACCAACAATAACAGTGCCTAATCATTTCCCTACCTAGCTACATAACAATATCCTATTTAAGCGTAACCCTATAAGAACGGTTGAGAGGAAGTTCCCATACTTTTTGCCGGTGCTTGCGCAATGGTAAAGCCAGAATTCGCGTGTTCAGTTGTCTTTAACAACAAAGGGAATAATCTCAGGGAATGAAACGTTTAATGATACAGTCATCGGTGCTTGGCAACGGCACGAACAGCTGATTCCCGTGTTAACCTGCCCAAATGATCCAGCATCTTCTGTGTCAACAAATCCTGTACTGGCAAATTCCAGGCATCCCAGTCGGTACATGGAACGTTTCTTCACCAAATCACTTTCTGAAACGATCAATGCGCTAAAGGACGCGGCGAAAGTCACTCGAGATCCTGACCAACGTAAGATGCTTTCGTTACCAACGGGACAGTTTCCACATCTTCGTGACCTTCGCGTTTCGACGATTCAGAGCTCTTCAGACGTAGGTTCTTGATGACACGCTATGGAAAGGTCGATTTCATAGCCCGGATGAAATATTTCGGCAATCTTCACTTCTAGTGTCGTTTGGAACATTGCGTCAGAATAAATAAATGATCACTGTACCTCCAATAAAACAGATCCAAAGGTACAAAATGAGTCACATAACAATATAATGATAAAATAATTCAAATAGATCGTTTGGTGTAACCAAATGATCGAAAAGTTATTCCTAGCTAACAACCTTTTAAAAAAGCAAAACTATCAATGGGTTGTAAATTTACTGCTATATTGAAATAATCTGTCTACATAAAATTATTATTAAAAAATAGGATAAACCCATTATATTTTTAAAAAACTATACTAACTTCAGACTGTTAGATCTTACATACTGTTAAGTTGGAAGTGGTTTATTTTTTAAATTGTGAATCTTTCTGGCAAAAAAATATGATGCTTATCTTAATAATACTCAACTACCTACTTATTAGATACTTAATTCTCATAGTATGTAATTAAAATTTTTTGAAGGTTTTTTTTTTTAATACAAATTAATGCATTTTTGTAATTGTTGGAATTCTGAAAATATAACATCATGAAAAAATAAATAAGAACATAAATTACTTAATAAACTGTTTATATGATTTTTTTTTTATTTTGATCTAAAACCTTCTGAATATCATCTAGATTTGTAAAATATCTAAACATAAGATGAATAATATCTAATTGAGTAGCAATTTTTTTTTAAAATTTCTAATTTTGTGCCAAATAAACTGAAGCGATATGTTGAACATGTTTGTAAACATTTTATCATTTAAACCTTTTGAAATTGCATGGAAACTGACTGTGATAAACTTAAAAGTCTAAAGGAAACGTTTTACATATTTTAAAGTCTTTATTGTTTATTTGATTTCATCGTTATTCGAGTTTTGACTCTTCCCACTGTGCGATGTATTGAGAAGGCGCCTACATCATTTTGGTTTCTTATTTTCAATAATGAAACATTGTTGATCGACCGAAAAATTCTACGAAGGGATACGTAGAATTCAAGAAACGAATAAAATTTTTTTTGTCCGTCCGCCGTCCGCGCATTTTCTCCGAAACTACTGGACCGATTTTTTCAAATTTGGATATAAAATCAGAGCACACCCAAGGATGATCTTCCTTCATTGACATTGCTATCCGCCTTTTACTTTCAAAATGACGGCCGAAAAACCTGCATTGCTATAGACTATAGCGCCTAAACGAATGTACCGATTTCAATGAAACTTAGCTAAACCTGTTTTCTCGACGCCCTTTAAATTTATTTATACAACTTATTGCAACGAAAAGAAGCTGGAAAAAAAGTTACGAGGAATGGTAAAATTAAATTCCGAATAACTCAAAAAGCATGCACTTTTTTGTGAATATTGTATATGGTATATATACTCACACACACACACACACACACACACATATATATATATATATATATATATATATATATATATATATATATATATATATATATTTATATATTAAAGTTTACTGAATTTCCTAAAAAAAAAAAAAATCGTTAAAATCGGACAATTAGGAAGGAGCAAAGATATGGTCTCTACTTTTTTGTTTGTATGTTCTACTGCAAAGGTTATTTCCTTTGTTTTGATTTTTGAATTTTGAATGTATTGCTCAAAGTAATGCTAGTTTTTTTTTAGTATATTACTAATGATTAAAAAAAAAAGTTTAGTCCAATAATTAGAATCACCTTTTATTTATTTTTCTTTGTAATTAGGAAGGTAATGTTACTTTAGATGTATAACTGTTTGGAAATAATAAAGTATATTCTGGTATTCAAAGCATATTTTAATTTTTACTAATGATATATCAATTTATATGTGCAGGTAAGGCTACCTATGCCGACCAGCGAGACCATACCGTACGTGGCAGAGGTGATGGGCGCTACCAGCTACGAAGAGAGTGTCGAGGAAGGCGGGGAAGTGAAGCGGGTCCAGAGGAAGCTCTCCGGGCCGGAGCACAAGGAGCCCGATCTCGACAGGGAGGAGGAGTTCACGGAATATCAGGGTAAGGCAACCAACACCCTACAGAATAACAATTCCTTCTCGTTCATATCGATATTAGAGATCTCTCATCCCGTTCTTTTTCACAGAGTTCGGTTTCCGAATCTCCAAAGATAGAAGTACTAGGTGTATTTAAAAAGGAACAGAAAATTTTATATTTTGCGGGTTCTATTAATTGGGTTCGGAATATTTTTCGTTTTATGTTTCTAGACAAGTACTAAATCCATCTGAACGCTAGTACCGATGTTGGTTGATTAGTCTCTCCTCAGTTATAAAGAAGGTTACCTTTGTTTTCTTGCTTATGTCGGTTTTTTATTTCGTGTAAAAATGATTGAATGTAAATGTTTTGTATTTTGGGCCTAAAGTCTCCTTAGAATAACTGTAGAGTTAAAAATAAATATACGTCAGCCTGGCATGTAGTTATAATACAAATATATACAAAGAAACCTAAGAAAAATAAAATTATATACAAAAAATACTGAGAGAAAAATAAAAGTAAAATGGATCTTATCAAACTGTTGGCAAGCAATTATAATTACATATCCTAAAAATTCTTACAAACTTGCTGAGGTCTGAAGGTGTAGTAGGTAGAAATAGGAATTTTTAGAAGGAATTTGTGGACTTGGTTTGATGTATGGAGATTGGTATAGAATTCCAAAAGGAGGTAGCACGAATGACGAAGGATTCGCTCAAGAAAGTGCTTTTATGGGAGGGAATATATCTATGGATTGAGATCTGATATTAAGGGAGTGGATAGACGAACGTCGAATAAGGAGTTCTAGGATACGGAGAGGATTTTTGGTTCTGAGGACTTAGACAAGCAAAATTGTCGCCAGATAGTAGGAGAGAACTACTTCAACTCGGTGTATAAGCAGTAAACATGGGAACGCTTGCGGATCCCAAAGATGAATCTTATGAAGCAATTCATGATTCTCTTTAGTCTCCACTCCAGTCATAAATGGATCATAAAATTTTAATGTGAAAATGGAATGCTGAACATTACTTTTGACGAACCCACTCTGAGTGAAACAAGGGTTTACGAGTGATACCACCGATTCCATGATGGCACTAGCGGATCCTGAATTCAATTTCGGAGGAAGCTTCAACCCAAAAGATTTTTTTTGTATGTATATATTACGATAATTACTTCGGAAGAATGAAAGAAACTAAGTAGGAAATTGTGTTTAAGTGATTGTTTTGAGCCGTATTAAATGTAATCAGACGAACAATAATAGTTTTAGAGATCATTTTTTTGAAAAAACATAGTTATATTTTACCATGGGAGAGGGAGGGGGGGGGGCTTCAGACCAAAATTCCCTCACACTAGATCCACCTCTGTCTGAGCTGAACTTTTTGTGTGGCGTTGCAATATTTTCATGTAATCTACATTCTTACAAGCTGTTGCCTGGAAACAATCTTCATCGAACAATGGTGATTGTGTGAGCCTCTCTACATAACCTAAGCTTCTCTCAGCCGCTGCATTAAGAGCCTTAGAATATTTTTTCTATTCTCCTTCAATGCTATCAGCATAAGTATTCATCCTTTTAACAAATTCTTCTTAGAAGGTATTCGTATATGCAGAGCCACCGTGTTAGTTTTTGGTACCTGGGGCGAAATTATATCAGGCGCCCCCTCACATGCCTCGAACTCGGCCAGTAGTATATTGTCTAATGTTTACGGATTTTATTTATATTATATATAACGATAACGATAATAACTTTGGAAAAAAAGAAAGAAACTCACTACCTATATGAAATATTCTTTAAGTGATTCCTAAAATATAATAAAATATAATATGTAATTACAATAATGATACTTCAAGAGATATTTTTTTTATATTTGTTTGCATAAAACATGGTTATATTTTACCATTTTGCTTCAGCCCAAAGCTCCTTCCTCCTTCCCCGTAGATCCGCCCGTGCATGATGGTCGTGAAGACTTTAATGAAGACGAGCGATCTGGGTATAACTCCAGCACCTCAAGGTTGGTTAAAACTCGGAAAAAACTGAAAGAAATATCATAGATCGCCGAATCACAATCAGAGAAGGTGCTGATGATTGTAGGTTAAATAACTCATGACTTCTTTACCACGATAATGAACCTGCACACATACACACTTCACAACGGCTCGTTCGAGGTGTTTTGGCGAATAATCAACACAGTTATGATACCACACCCTCCATATTCGTCTGATGAAGCCTCAGTGCGACTTATTAAATTTTCGAAAAGTAAAAAGAACCTTAAAAGGCCGTCGTTTTTCAAGCATAGCTGAGATTAAAACCGCATTACTGAGAGAGCTAAATTTTATCCCAAAGATCAAGTTCCACATGGGTTTCGGAGACAGGAAAAATCGCATAGGTGTGTAATAACTAATATGGATTACTTTGATGGTGATAATATTGTTGTAGATGAATTGTTTGAAAGAAAATTATGATTCCAGCTACTTATTGAACACATGTTGTATTTCAAGATTCGAAGTAAAATTTCTTTTTCTATGTCTAGTAGGTTTCAGTAAATAAGATTACGCATCCAACTGCTGCAATACATAAGCCCCACGCCATTTTACAATCAAAATATAATTCTAAACAATAACAATAAGTCGGTCAGTGGAATCGGCTTATTGTCCTTGTAAATTATGGCGATTGGGGCAATTGCTCCAGGCCGACTTTGAGAACCGTCAGGTAGGGGCTATGATCTTCAGCCATCAGCCACTTGTTAGAAATGAAAAAAAAAATACAAAACATATTAAAATAACCAATTTTAGCTAGTCAATAAAGCAACTGTATTAGATGATTTTAGAAATATAGAAATATTGGATGAAATAAAATTCAAATATTACATAATATAAAACAATTTAAGAAATAAATTTAATTTTTAGCTTTCATATTTCAGGAGTGATTGGAAGACCCGGTGTGGACTTCCCAGTACTGCCCAGTATCCCTAGAACCGAATTCAGCTGCAGAAACGTAAAAAGTTCAGGATATTATGCTGATCTTGAAACTGGATGTCAGGTAATAATTTCAACCATCAATCATACTCATTTATTTATATTTAAAACATAAATAAATAAAATTACGAATAATATGAAAGGAATTCAGAAAATTCCATTTCTCTAAAAGCACAACATAAAGCTTAAAACAAATATTTCTTTGGATTACAATTACAAGACTCTTAAAGTAAATAATTTATAGCAAATAAGTATTTATTCTTCTTCTTCTTCTTAATCAATTCCTCTTCTAGCGTTCCTGTTTATAAAGCCTAGTCCATTTATCTCGTTCTTGCACCAGTTGATTGCATCCATTCCATTTCATTTCTCTCCTATCGAAATCCTCTCTGACTGAACCTTCCCAAATCTTTCTAGGCCTTCCTCTCGGTATTGTTCCTACCAGTTTTACTTCATATAAAATTTTGGCCATCTTCTCTCCTGCATTATTTTGACATGGCCAAACCAGCGTAGCCTGTTTTCCTCTACTGTATTTTCTGCCGGTTTTATTCCCAAAGTGCTTCTTATCGTTGTATTCCTGATTTTTTCCATCCTAGTTTTTCCCTCTGTTCTCCTCAGAAACCACATTCCCATTGCTTTTATATTTTTTATAGTCCAGGATTCACTGCCATTAAGTCAGTATGGGAACAAATTTATTTTTACACACCGTTTTCTTGACATTTTTTGACACTTCTCTCTTTGCTGAGAAGCCTGTTTTTAGTGAATGGAAGCATTTGCTGGTCGGACTTATTCATTCCCTGATGTCAAATGTTTAAATGAGATCTCAGATACTTAAAGTCTTTGACGGGCTCGAGTTCCTCCCGCTTCAATCGAAGTACTCGGTCTTCTCTCCCCTCCCCACCCCTATCCTCATTATTTTTGTTTTGTTGCTGTTTATTTTCATGTTAAACAGTTCTAATTCTTGCTACAGGATTCAGAGGTTGTATTGGAGGTTTCTTCCGTTGTTCCTAAATACCACAATGTCGTCGGCATATACCAGAAGGGTGAGATGAACTGGTAGTAGCGCTCTGTGGCTCAACCTAAAAGGTCTCAGGTTCTTTCCTTTGCTCTCTTCAGTGCCATGTTGAGCATTATTATCAACAATAAATGGCTTAGACTACAGCCCTGCCTTATTCATTGGGTACTCTGAAACTCCCTAGAGGTGTGGTTATTGGTTCTGACCACGCTTATTTTCTTTTTATACAGGCTAAGAATGGCCCTTGCTAGGCCTGAATCGGCTCCATAATCGCTCAGTGCTCTGTTTGAGTCAGTTTTTCTGACCTTATTGAATAGGGTTAGGTCCACAAAGCAGCTATATACTTCTTTATTCTTTTCCGCGAGCTTTTCTGAGAGCTGCCTCATTGCGAATATTAAATCTTGGCCGCTTCTTCTTGGTCTGAAACCGTATTGTTCTTCTTCTAGGGTTCTCTTAATGAATCCCCTTAATTCTCTTCTCTAGAATTTTAGAGTATACTTTGCATGTTACACTAAGCTGTGAGATATCTCTGTGGCTTCAGCTTTATTTGTAATTTCCTTTTTAATATAGTGGTATTATGACTGAACTTTCCCAATCTTTAGGTACTTCTCTCTTTTTCCATACAAAATTCAGTAGATACCGAAATATTTCCTGTACTTTTGTTCTCATATTCGTCAGCATTTTGCTGGTTATACCGTCTATTCCAGGTGTTTTGCCCATTTTCAGGCTGTCGATTGTATCTGTTATTTCCTCCTCTCTTATGAAATTATTCATAAATATAAATTTCTTTCGGTAAATGTGTGGCTTGGTGCAAGAAATAAAGAATTATTGAGGGGAGGGAATGTGGGAGTGCGAATATAAGAATTCCATAAGTAAAGTAACCATTCAACAGTTTATCTTTAATATAAAATAAATAAAATACTTATACTAATAAATCATTAATAATTTAAGACCTGTATGATTTATTGAATCTGTTTGGAGATTATTTTTCAATAAATAACTCTCCTCAAGCCCGCTCCATAAAATATTGAGAGGAGTGATGCAGAAATTCCCTTGTGTAATTTTAATCAATGTTTTCTATAATAATAATAATAAAAAGGCTTAGCGAACCCTAAGGTTCGATGCCGACACCACCAATCACTTATTGCACACCTCCTTCCACCGTTCGCCGTCCAAACCCAGTCCTTCAGATCGGCTTTAATGCAATCTTCCCACCTTCGCTTCGGTCTACCCCTCGGACGCTTACCATTCGGGACAGCAAATATTAACCTTTTAGGAATTCTCTCGTTACTAAGTCCAACAACTTTACAAGCCCATTTGATTCGCCGCGATGAAATTATCTCAATTATATTACTCGGATACAGATCACGCAATTCGGCGTTGTGTAACCGTCTGAACTCTCCGGTTAACTCATCCTTCTTCGGTCCGAATATTCTACGCAATACTTTATTTTCAAAAACCTTAAGACGCTGCTCATCCCTTAATGCAAGCGGCCAAGTTTCGCACCCATAAAGAATGTTTTCTATGTTGGTTTAAAATCATATTTTCGTGTGTTTTTCTTGCATTAGGCTTTAGAAATGAAGGTAAAAGTAAGTTAAATCCAAGCACACATAGATTGATTTTGTTGTCACATTTTCAAGATTCGGAATATTATATAACATGTAGTTCTGTGCGACACGGCCAGATTTATCGCCATTAGAGCGGTTTTCTTAAATAATTTACTCGATAATTAGTCGCATTCGGATTTATGAAAATTTCTAGGAATTAAATTAACACTGGAGCCGGAGTTCCCAATTGGGTTAATGCTGGTGTAATAGGTAAAGTTGGGCGTTAAGCTCAAGTGATCGCGGTCAAAACTTGGATAGGATACCTTGAAAATGGATTAACTGGGCTATTTAGGCTACCCTTCCCCTCCCTACTCCTCCCCCAGAAACAAAGCCCGTCAGCTTACCAGTAATTCACACCCATCAGACGCCGGAGTTATGGCCATATATTGAAAAAAGCGAGGGGAGCTTAGAAGATCGATTACATAAATGTTCTATGAACCAAGATCTATCTTTCGGATGCTAGGAAGTTACACTTACCGTGTGCATTAAATGCTTTCTATATTAGAAGTGGACTTAGGATGTAATAGTTAGAGAACAATTCGATGATAGAAATACTTTCCAAGACCTATTTTTTAAGTCATTGATCAAAAATGCGTTTTTTTACACCACTTGAAGTATAGTACTTATTGCACATGGTAATTCTTTAGGTACCATTTCATAAATAGTAATAAATTTCTATAGAATTCAGAAATGGAGATATAAACAGTTCTACAGGAGTCCCAGGGTCCAGAAGAATATTTAATGACACCGGCCAATTTACTTTTAGAGAACTCCAGATGTACCTGAAAATATAGAATGTAATACCTATTAATTATTTAGGAACTATATATTTTATTTATTTACAAAATGTTCAGGGATTTCAACCACCTGGGCCATTTTCGTCCTATATTACAATTTTTTAATCAAATTAAAAAACAACAGATGACAAATAGAGTTTATCAATAGTTTACAGTGAATATAGGAAGTTAATAAATAGTTACAGCTTAATAAATATACAAGCAGAATAAATAAAATGTAAAGGTACAGATTTAATTAATATTAAATGTTAGAGATTAAATGAAGTGTAATTAACAAAAACTGGTAAAATTAAAATTTAAAGATTACAAGAATAATAGTTACCATCTACGGTTTAAACATTTTTTAAAATTACAAGAAGAAAAGTTAATGACTAAAATTTAAAATTAAATATTAGAAATAACAAGGAAAAGTTAAACAAACAAAAAACAAAACAATTAAATTTAAAAGTTCAGAATTAAAAGAAGGAAGTTGAAATAACACTTAAAACTGAAAGTTGAATATTGAAAGAATCAAAGTTAACAAAACTGGTAAAATTAGAAGTTAAAGATTACAATAATTAGAGTTAACAGGTGTTAAGTTAAAATTACAAGACGAAATGTAAAAAAGTTCAATTTAAATATTTAAGACATAAATTAAAATTTTAAGATTAAAGGAAGAATAGTTGACAATAAAAATTAAAGTTTCAGAAAAAAAAAAAAAAACTGAAATGATTAAAGTTGAAAGTTAAAGCTTATAATGAGAGTTAACAGGCAATGATTCAAACACCAGCGGATCCAGGATTTAGTTTTGGGGAGGGGAGCTCCAGCCTGAAAGATTTTTTTCTATATACATATAACGATAATTAATTAGAAAAAAAAAGAAAGAAATTAACTATCCTTATGAAATGGTGTTTAAGTGGTTCTTGAAGTCCTATTAAATGTAATTACACAGACAAGAATACTTTAAGAGATAGTTTTTAGTATTTTTTTTTCTGTAAAATATAGTTATGTTTTACAATTTTGGGGGGCTTCAACCCAAAAGCCCTCTCCTCCCCCCCCCCGTAGATCCGCCTGTGGATTCAAGTATAAAAGGCTGAAATTACAGATTACAAGAAGTAATCTTAAAAGATACAGTTTAAAATTACAAAAGGAAAAGTTAACCATTATAATTTTAGTCAAATGTTAATTCTACAAATACAGTTATGTTAAAAAGACCGTTTGTTAGAATAAATTTGTAAAAATTAAAAACTGAATAGAGGTTCTTATGTAATAAATTTATTTTAAAATATTTAGAATTTACTAGCTTTTAAGTAAGGTTCGTGTTTAAATTTCGTGAAATATTTTGATTTCCTTAAGAAACGATAACAAGTTTTTGATACTATTTGATTTTTTTTTAAGTGATTCATCTAAGCTACTCATGAAATGATGTTGGTCCCTAAGGGTTTGCAATGTATAACATTCAGTCAATATATGGATCACTGCGAGAGGTACCCCTCAGAATATGCATTGCAGTGGAAAATCTTTCTTCATTGAATACCCTTGGGTAAGCCGATCTTCTGCCTGGTCAGTACCACTTCTTCCTTCCTCGTCAAGATATTCGGTGCAACTCTTCGGACCTATGGCTCCACAACCCTTAACTTATTGTTCCTTGTGACAAACCAAATTTCTT